TATAAGGTATTCCAATGAAACTACGCTTTATTCTTACCGCTGGATACAACGAATCGTTTTGTATCGGCAGGGCGACACAACGCAGCTCCGCACAATGCCGATCGCCTTTTTGCCACTGTACTTATGTGCAAGATTGTTTCACTACTGGCCACGTTTCTTTTCCTCAGTTGCATGTTGATATTTAGTTTGCTGATTTTATTATGCTATAGAGCTCTGTAAACTATTATAACGCTTTCACAGATGAATCACTTAGTGAAGCCCGCTATTACTGTCACCGTCATTAGATAGGCCCCGTGGAGTGTATGGCAAATTGCAGTGTAATTTTAGTGTTCACTTGCCCCGAAACTGGAAGCGGGTAGTTAAGGTTGTTGCCTGTTTCCGCAGAAGCTATGGCTCTGACGCAGGTTTCATCTAACAAGTGCTGCGGCGGCTTCCAGAAGGTCTTCGAGCATGACAGGTGCGGCCCGGGCGCACGCGCACCGCCCCCGTCAATGTCCCCACCGCCGCCGTCCCCGTCCATGTCCCCACCGCCCGGAAGGCATCGGAACTTGCTATTTGCAACTTCACCGGCTGTTTCAGTCACCCATGTTGTGACTGTCTGCAAACACTTTCGCTTGTCTAATTCTCATTTTGTCTCCTGATGGGGGGTATTCAGCACTGAACTGAAATGCAGAATGAAGTTTGCCATCTATCTCCCTCCGAAAGCCGAGAGCGAAAAATGCCCTGTGCTCTACTGGCTATCCGGTAGGTAACTACAGTCAAATTGGCTGTATGGCCATACCTCATGCTGTGTGTGAGTTAATGTATCAGCCTGCAAGAATTCAGTTTATAAATGATAACTCTACAGTATGGAGTTTTAACTCACTCTCCGCCTGGTGCTTTTAAAGACATTAAACCAGTCAGCTACAATTCATCCATTATATAATGTTTTACAAACTGTTTGTACTTAACAGCTTATCTCTCCGAAGGAGTTGATAAACAATAAGGATGGTGATGAATTCTTTTGGAAAAATAGGCTGTTTGAATACATTCCCATCTAGGGTGTCCCTGCATTTTGCCTGCTGCTTCCAGGATAACCATGACCCTGTACAGAATGTGATTTGAAGTATATATGATGTTGTATAATAATCCATTATTTGCCATTTGAACAAGTTCCGAGACTTAGGATTTCTTTGGTTTTTACATATCCTGTCATGCTCTTCTATGGGGTCAGAGCACAGGGTTGGTGATTTTTCTGACACCCCCAGAGCAGGTTTTAGTATTAAGAGCTTTGTTGAATGGTCCAGCGGTGATGTGGTTCATCTGCGAACAACAGGATTTGAACCAGTAACTATCTGGACCCAGGCACTCTTCCAGTCCATAGAGCCATGCACCTCCTATGCTGTAATATAATCTAAGGCCAGATGTGAAGAGATGGGAATAGAGAGCACATCCCTTGTTTTCTTTAGGTTAGGATATATCCTATATCCCAGGAGATGTGGTGAGTTGGGGGTAAATATGGGATCATTCCTGTCAGCTGGACCGAATCAGATGTTGGGCAGGTGAACAGGCTGTCACTGGCTTTACGGTCTGCAGCCTTCCACAGGCTCCCTCAGCATAAACTGTTTACTGAGCCGTTCATGGGCTTTAGTGGATCGTCCACAGAGGCACTGGAAGCTATGCTGGTTTGGCGTATGGCCTGTTCCTGCCCTGTTCCTCTCCTCATTGTGCCAGGAACCCCAGTTCCACCCACCCCTACTGGACTCACCTCAGTCTGAGAAACACCTGCTCTCGTTATGCTTTCGTTATAGTTTTGAAAGGGATGTTTAACTTAAAAGAAGCGGCTTTTAAAATGGGTTTGAATGCATAAATGACTTGGAATAAATGAGAAGTTGAGTTGTGTATACAGTATGTGTCTTTGGTTAAACATGAAGGCTCAAAATTGTGTAAATAGGGACACTTGGGAACCGGCTTTGTGATGTTAAAATATTAAGGAATTAAGGCATTTCTGAAAGAGAAGGACAAGCCTGAAGACTGATGCTGCTGAAGTGCTCATGCTATAATGTCAGGAGCCTGAGGGGGCATAGTGGTCTTGGCATTCACTGCTTAATGTTAGGGGTCCAAGGAGAGGCCTGCGGTGCTACTTCAGCATGACTAAAGTGTCCATCGGCCAGGAAGCACATCACTTAGGGTAAAAGCGTGGTGCTTATCTGCGCGTGACCACTTCTGATGGTGGGTTTGCTCTCCCTGACACACAGGACTGACTTGCACCGAGCAGAACTTCATCACCAAGGCGGGCAGCCAGCAGGCAGCGTCTGAACATGGCCTGATCATCGTGGCACCAGACACCAGCCCGCGTACGTGAGCCACACCCCCTGTCCGGCACTATAGGTGTCCCTCCTTCAGACTGACTTGCAGACTCTTGGGTTTCCTGGCTTTTTGATCCCTGCAAATACACCTGGCATCACCTGGAGCGTGTAAGCTGCATGGTTACCGCCTGTTCGAGTGCAACAATCAGGTGATTTGAGACGAGCAGTAAACATTAGCATCTATTGCCCCGGATTGGCCATCACTGACTTTGGAGTGGAACAGTGTCCCACACCTGCTTTCTCTTCTCCACTAACTCCCTCTTGGCTTCCCAGGTGGTTGTAACATCGAGGGGGAGGAGGAGAGCTGGGACTTTGGGACTGGTGCGGGTTTCTATGTCAATGCCACAGAGGACCCCTGGAAGCAGAACTACCGCATGTACTCCTATGTCACGGAGGAGGTACAAGCCCCGCCCCCGGTCCAGCCCGTGGCCACGCCCCATTCCAACCTGTGGCCCCGCCTCTGCCCTGCCCGTGGCCCCGCCCCCAATACCCCCTTGCATCTAGACCATTAAAAGCATGTCAGCCTGTTGGATTGTTACTCCAATCAGATTTGGAGGAAAATAGAGGTAATTTGGCTTTCCTCAGGAAGAACTTTCTAGAATTCATCTGTCTGTGCAGCAGCGGTCTGTCAGTATGGCCCAGCCTGCAGGTCCTGGGGCGACAGGCGGCTGTGGAGGCCCTTCGTGTTTTGTTCCCTGAGGTCGGCTGTCTGTCTCAGTGGACTGTCGTTAAGCCCTGATACCACCGTCTCATTGTTTGGGCGAAGCCTCAGGACGCTGGTATATTGTGCTTCCATTTTCAGATTATCAGGATGTACCTCTAAGCTCGTGTTTCCCTTACTGTCCTTCTGAATGATAAATGATGACAAAGAAAGAAGACTTTGGCCATGGTCCATTCCAGTTGTGGTTTCTGTCATCAAGGCCAGAGTCCTCCTTTGGCCGTCTGTTTTGACATTACGTTCTCAGATGGGTTACACACTCCATTGTCTTACAGACAGCAAGAGTCTAACAGAAGAACATTTTCAGGGCACTCTTCAAGGCAGGACTTTTAGTGAATATAAAAAACAAAAATATACATCATTTATTCTACTCATTTTCTCTATTCTGGTAGAGTCATACCTAATTTTATCTGGCCATTACAGTGGCCCAGCCAGCTACCACTCCAGCCCACAGGCCTGAGTCACCTTCCAGATTATAATGGTAAAAACAAACCCAGCCTGGGTCAGTGCTGATCTCTCTCGGCGTAATAGTTGGAAAACTCTATCAGTGTCGTGTGTAACTAGGTCTGGGGTCGTCCGGGGTTGTGTTATGAGTGCAGTGTGAGCTGTTTTTCTTTGAACCTGATTACAGCTGAGGTTACGGTTAATGATCTGCGGGTGACTGACTGCGAGCTGAAGCGCCATGGTGACTTGTCACCTAAACGGGCTGCGATCAGTAACACAGGCCTCTAAATGCAGCTGTGCTTAATCCCCAGCAGGGGGCGATAGAGTGGAAGAATGGTGCGAGTGGCATTCGTGAAGTAGACTTCTATAAAGTGATTTATAGAAGTCAGCTCTATTTAACTTTATTTATACCCCAGCTTTGATAAATACTGTTTGCTTATTGGTCCAGAGATGTCACATGGGTGTTGATTATTTTCATGTAACTGCACAGGTAGTTCTGGCAGCCTAATTACAGTCCTGTATTAATGCATTTTAATGTTTTTGTTAAACATGTTAATATACACCAGGCCACATTATGCCAAGCTGTTGTTGATTATTTTCGTATAGCGGCACACCTTGTCGTGTTTTATCCCTTACATAAAGTATATTAAAAGGTTATCTGTTGAAAAATGTAAACGCAGTTTGTTGGGTGAGCCTCCCGCCGTCCTGTTACCTCTCTCTCTGCACCCCTCAGCTGCCCCGTCTAATCAGCGCCCATTTCCCGGCTGACCCCGAGAAGATGTCCATCTCGGGTCACTCTATGGGCGGCCATGGTGCCCTCATATGCGCCTTGAGCAACCCAGGGAAGTACAAGGCAGGTTTTCCACATTCAAACCCTTACATCTGTAAATGAGCATAACAGACCTGTCTTCAGTGGTAATGAGTGGCCCTGTGTTGCTGTGAATGGCGTATTTTGTTGAGGCTGACTTGCCGCCCTCGCCATGGGGGGGCTGGCTGCTCTTACCCACGTCCTGCCTCCCTGTCTAGGCTGTGTCCGCATTCGCCCCCATCTGTAACCCCATGCAGTGTGCCTGGGGGCAGAAGGCCTTCGCCGGATACCTGGGCCCCGACAAGTCGAAATGGGAGGTAGGCCTTACGGCCGCCAGGGTGGGGGGGGCGTGTGTCAGCACCCTGCCAGCTGTCCTGGACCTGCTGTGGCTCTCTGTGGCTGGGAAAGGACCCTCCACAGTTTGTTATGCTTCAGATGTTCCTTCCAGGGCCTGAAGCATGTGGGATCCCTGGTCCCACTAAGCAGGGATTATCGGGAGATTATAGGGCCTCTGTAACCAACGGGCCGTTTAATAGGAATGAAATCATCCCGTCGATTCAACCAGCAGACAAAGGGCTCTGCAGGATTAAAAGCAGAAGTGGAAACCTTAATTATGGAAACACATTTTAATTGGCACCCGCTTTATATTCTATGTATCGGTCGTGATGACATTCAGAAATTCACTATAGCTGCAGTTTAAAACCCTGTTATGCTTTATAATACGCTTGCAGCTAGATCTCCAGTGTTGAATTTACCGATTGCTTCCAGTTAACTCATTAATCATTTATCTGAGGTTTTGGCAGATGCTTGGCAGAACTGTTTGTTATATAGTGTTTGTTAGAAGTCTGAAACACTCAAACTCAGTGAGGATACAGCTGAACTGTTTTTGCACTTTTTATGTCTCATCCTAAAGTGAGTTGTCATTTGGAAGGTGGTTAAATATTTAATGGTTATTTTATTGCCGACAGCCCTCAGCCAAATAACTCATTGTTCGGTTTAAAATAATTTATGCCAAACTCTGCTGGAGGGACAGAGATAAGCCAGATCAAAGAGCAGAAATGCACCTCGGTTTAAAGACCTTTTGCCTGTGGTGATTGATTAGATAAATTTAAATTAAAGTTTTAGACTTTAAAGTATGCGGTATTTTGTAACACCTCATGTGGTCTGATCAATTAAGATCGTTTCTGGAGTGAAAGCCTCTAAATAAGGGACTGTGGCTGTTTCTGTTCCAGACTTATGATGCCACCACACTGGTGGGGTCCTACTCTGGGCCCCAGCTGGACATCCTGATCGACCAGGGTCGTGATGATCAGTTCCTCTCAGCTGGACAGCTGCTCCCAGACAACCTCATTGCAGCCTGCACCGAAAAAAAGATCCCTGTGGTGTTTCGGCTGCAGCAGGTAAGTGGTGCCATCTGGTGGCAAAAAGGGAAGAAAACAATTTCATTTATTTAAGACTGCATTCAGAAAGTTTTCAGTCCTTCACTTTTAGCAAATTTTGTGTTGCATCCTTGTGCTAAAATCATTTTGATTAATTTTTTCCTCATAAATCTACATACAATACTCGGTTATGACAAAGCAAAAACAAGACTTTTTCCAGATTTATTAACAATAAAATGAAACATCACACTGACATAAGACCCTTAAGTCAGCACTTAGCTGAAACACCCTTTGCAGTGATTACAGCCTTAAATCTTCTTGGGTACGACATGACAAGCTTTGCAGACCTGGGTTTGGGGATTTTCTGCTACTCTCCTCTGCAGATCCTCTCCAGCCAGAGTCTGTCATTTTGGATGGGGTCTGTCAGTGGGCAGCTCGTTTCATGTCTCTCCATAGATATTTGATTGGGTTCAAGTCCGGACTGAGCTGGGCCACTCTAGGACATTAAGCCACTCCTGCATTGTCTTAGGGTCATTGTCCTGTTGGAAGGTAAACCTTCAGCCCAGTCTGAGGGTTTAGAGCGCTCTGCAGCAGCTTCATCTCCATTCAACTTTCCCTCGACCCTGACTTGTCTCCCAGTCCCTGCCACTGACAAACACCCCACAGCATGATGCTGTGACCACCGTGTTTCATTGAAACCAGACATTTTAATCTTGGTTTCATCAGACCACAGAATCGTGTTTCTCACAGTCTGAACGTTCTTCAGATGCCTTTTTACAAACTGCACATGGGATTTCATGTGTCTTTTACTGAGGCTTTTCCTGAGCCCACATTGGTGTTGCAGTGATGGTCATCCTTCTGGAAGTTTCTCCCATCTCCACACCGGTTCTCCACCAGGGCAGTGGTGGCTTCATGGTTAGGGAAGCGCACTTATAATTAATTGAAAGATTGCAGGTTCGAATCCCCGATCAGGGAGGTACCCTGAGCAAGGTACCGCCCCCAAGCACTGCTCCCCGGGTGCTGAATTAGCTGCCCCCTGCTATGTCACGATGTCACATATGGGTTAAATGCAGAGGACACATTTCGATGTTGTGTGCTGTGGTGTGTAAACACTGATCACTAAATTCTAATTTTAAATTCAGCTGTATAAGAGCCCTCATTGGGTTCTTGTCGCCTCTTACCAAGGCCCTTCTCCTAACTGTTCAGTTTGGCCAGGTGGCCAGCATTAGAATGGGTCTTGGTTGTTCCAAACTTCTTCCATTTAAGTATGATAGTGGCCACTGTGCTCTTAGGAACCTCCGGTGCTGCGTTTTTTTTGTAGCCTTCCCCAGATCTGTGCCTCGACACAATCCTGCCTCTGCAGGCAATTCCTTCAACCCCTTCACTTGTTTTTTGCTCTGATATACCTTGTTAGCTGTGGCACCATTATATAGACAGTTCTGTGCCTTTGCAAATCAAATCCAATCAATTGAATTAACCATAAGTGGTCTCCAAACAAATTGCAGAAACATCTTACAATAATCATTAGAAGTGGGTCAAAGTATCACACCAAAGGATCTGAATACTTATGTCAATGTAATGTCCAAATATTTTATTTTTAGTAAAGAAACAAAAATTTCTGAAATTTTGTTTTGACTTTGTCATTAATGTGGTATTGGATGTAGATTTATTAGGGGAAAAAATGAATTTTAATTATTTTAGCATGAGGCTGCAACATGGGTTATAATACTAGCAAATTCTAGTATTGTGCAAGGAAATGAGCAGTGAAATGTATGCAGTATATCAGGCGAAGATTGGTATTTATTATAAATGTATTGTGTGAATGTATCAGTTTGGTTTCTGGGAAATTCAGCTGCTTATTAAATGTGAGGTACAGGTTTAAATTAGTATTTCAGCTGTGTGACAGTATATTGAGATTTACAAACTGAGTTGTGACATCACTTCGTCTTCCTTCCATGGTCTGTTCTCAAATTTTATTTTGTGTTGTTTTTCTGTCCTTCTCCAGGGCTATGACCACAGTTATTTCTTTGTTTTCTCCTTCATCAATGACCACATCAAACACCACGCCAAGTACTTGAACGCTTAAGGTGATGACTTTGTGATCACAAGCTGGATGTCCGCAGTGCCTTTTCACGAGGCCCCGCCTACCAAGTGTCCAGTGCTTACCTGTCTCACTCCAGCTGCAGTGTTAGCTGTGTTGATGGGTCAGTGTGAACTGCTGACTGGTGTGTGCCAGTCCTGGTTGATGTTCTCTTAGCATTTTTCAAAAATAAAAGGTCAGCGATTGGTTAACAGCATCTGCTTCCATCTCACCCATAAATCTGAGACCTGTCCTAGGAAACATTATGTCCAATGCAGGATGGGATACCAGTTTATTGCTGAGCACTGACACTTTGGAAAATCGAGTATGTTGATAGGTCGGCAGTTGGCAGGGGCCTTGGCGGACCGGCCCACTGGCTTCAGGAACGTGGAACATAACCCCTCTGGTGGGAAAGAAACCCGAGACTAGGTATGGCCAGGCTCAGACCAAAAAGCTCAGCATGGGTTCTGGAACCAAACTCTTAGAGGGAAGCTGCACTCCACTGCACTATGGAGAGGTGCTGGGCAGTTGTCGGTCTACTTCAGCCCCCTGGTTCAGTGTGAATACATTGGAGTTCATTGGGGAATAAGAGAACTCCATCGGGTTCTGACTATGGATTGAGCCTGTGCACTATGAAATAAGTTCAGTGTCCGGTCTTCTTGGAGGCCTTGGATGGGGTGCTGGGACGCACCCCCTCAGTGAACTCTGTTATACTGGGGGATTTCAACACCACATGGGTAATAAGGAAACATGGAGGGGTACGATTGAGAGATCGGGGCAGATCGAGCTGCCTGATCTGAAGTGGTGCTCTGTTATTGGATTTCTGTATTAGCCCCAGTTTGTCCATGACAAACACCATGTCTGAGCATAAGGGTGTTCATAAGTGCACCTGGAACTGTAACACCCAAGGTCTTAGATCAATGATCAATTTTGTAATCATATCATCAGATCTGGAGGTCCACAGGTATATACAGGAGGTATGACATAGGTATGTGTTGGACAATTGGGGTAAGAGAGGAGCTGAGCTGTCAACTGATCACCATCTGGCCATGAGTCTGATCAGACAGCACAGGGGCCCATATCAAACAGACCTGGTAGACACAAATGTGGAGTGAGAGTGTGGTGGCCCTTGTCTGGGAAATCTTTAGCTGATACAACTGGTAGAACTTCCTGTACATTTCAGTGGAGGCTGGAAATATTGAGCGTGAGTGGGCCATGTTCTGTGCTTCCTTTGCTGATGCAGCTGTGCAGAGCTATGGCCATAACAGTGGCAGCCCCCAAATCCAGTGGTTAAGGGAGCCATCAGGCTGAAGAAGGGGGTCTTCCGATCATGGTTAGCTTGTGGGACTCTGGAAGGAGCTGACAGGTACCTGCAGGTCAGGTGGAATGCGGCACTGGCAGTTGCAGAGACAAAAACGTGTGTAGGAGGAATTCAGTGAGGCCATGGAAAATTACTTTCAGTTGGTCTAGAAGAGATTCTGACAACCTGTTAGGCAATTCAGGAGGAATCAGGGCTTCACCCATGCTGTTTACAGCAGGGAGCGAGTGCTGTTGACCTCAACTGGGGATTTAGTTGGATGGTAGAAGGACTTTGTGAATTCCGCTGACATGCCTTTCTTGGAGGACTCGTCCATCATTAGGGCTGAGGCCACTAAGGTAGTTAACCTCCTTTTTGGCAAGGCTCTAGGGGTGGATGAGATTCGGCCTGAGTTCCTGAAGGCTCTGGATGTTGTTGGGCTGTCTTGGTTGACATGCTTATTCAACATTGTGTGGAGGTTTGGGACAGTGCCTTTGGATTGGCAGATGAATGTGGTCCCACTCATTAAGAAAGGAGGCTGGAGGTGTTCCACCTTCAGAGGGATCACACTCCTCACCCTCCCTGGGAAGGTCTATGTCGGGGTACTGGAGAGGAGGGTCCATATGTTGTGATCCTTGAGGGGTCCTGTAGGGGGAGCTCTGGGAGTATGGGGAGCCAGGCCCACTGTCATGGGCCATTTAGATCCCTTTATATCTGCCACAAGTGTTTGGTTCGCACCAAATCAGACTTGTTTCCAGTGGGTGTTAGCCTCCATCAGTGCTGTACTGTGACACTGATTCTGTTCATAATTTTTATCAACAGAATTTCTAGGTGCACTCAAGGGGTGAAGGGTGTCCAGGTTGGTGACCTCAGGATTGCATCTTTGCTTTTTGTGGATGATGTGGACTTCCACCATGTATTGGGCCGGTTTGTGGCTGAGTGTCAAGAAGCCAGTATGCAGTTTAGTCCATTGGCTCTCAACCGGAAAATGGTAGATTGCCTTTTCCAGGTTGGGAATGAGTTACTAACTCAAGTGGAGGAGTTTAAGTATCTCAGGGTCTTGTTTGTGAATGAGGGAAGAAGGAAGTACGAGATCAACAGGTGGATCCGTGCAGTGTCGGCAGTTATGTGGATGTGGTATTGCTCTGTCTAGGCAGAGAGAGCTGAGTTTGTCGAAGCTTTCAATTTACCGGTCCAACTACCTTCCTACCCTCACCTATGAGCTTCCTTTGCAGGGTGTCAATCAATCAGATGTCAGTCCCACCACCTCTACAATCTGATTGGTTCTCTCTCTGAATCAATCATTTTTCATTCTGCCCTCATAACATTTTTGTGTAAGAAAAACTCTCCAAAGGCTGCTAAGGGATGCCTGAGCACTAGTGTAATCAGTGACAGTCACTCCTCCTGCCCTGTCAGTAGTCAATGGGATTTTTAAATATAGTCTATCTGATCTTTAACATATTCATAAAGTCGTATGCATCCTTGTTTCCTGATCTAAAGATCACGGTGGTCATGTTTCTGAGCTCCTAAGGATTTGTGGGAAATTGGAAGCGAAGTGAAAATATGCAAGGCAGTTGTATTGTTAAAAAAAATTAAGCTGAAACCTGAGTAACTGCTTCCGAAAGTTGCCAGGCACAGTTGCAGATACTTAGACACAAAGGAATGATTTGGTGTTATACTCCGTTGCCTGGTGCTACCAAAATGCTGATCCTCAATTCTCATATTTCTGAGCTGAATTCCCATTTACAGGTCAACAGTGTTCACAGAAAGCCCTCAGCAGGGACTAAACTGGGGTAACTGTGGTCTCAAGCTCATTTCCTGCACTGCAACTCTAGCCACTGCGGTGCTGACAGGCTGTCTGCTAAGTTATACAATAGCATCAGTCAAACACACAGCTCTTTAAACAAGGGTTTATTGTTAAAGTAACATTTGAAGTATGTACATTATTTACAGTAACCAGCAATTAAGGTGACAGTTTGGATATGTCTGTGTCATTATCTAACGTTTGTACATCATATAACTTTAGAAATGCCACATGAATGTATAATAAAGTATTAAGTACTTCATTTTTCAATATTGAAAAACATAGATCTTTAGTTTAAAAATAAGTAGAATTAAAGCCATTATAGTCCAGTTTTGTAGAAAGTAGGAAACATCTGCTCTAGATGTGACAGAATACAGCTCGAGATAAATATGCAATGTGACATTTGTGTAAGACTGAAGGGTGATCTGTGAGTTGACAAACCTGTTAAATTCTGTAGATAATGCAAAACCAGTATAACTGACCACCACCTCACTCGTTTCATGAGAAACTTCAGAACATCAGCTGATTGGGAGTAAACACACGTAGATGTGAATGTGCCCTGTGCTTAGCAGTCCTCTTTCGCTTTCCCAGACTTTATTTTATGAGGTCTGCAGCAATAATTTAGCTACAGTACAGTTATAATATTCTTCAATTAAAAACAATCTATTTGAATTTTAAAGCAAGCGTCTGCATTGAACAAAATGCAATCTATAAACACAACTTCCATTGTATGAGAATTTTCACGTTTTTGACCTGCCAAAATGTTTAAGTAAAAATGTACAAGATGAAATCATAAAATGCCCTTGATTACTCTCCTTCAGCTGCACATAAACTCTAACTGAATATCGATAATTAGCTGGTGTTACAAACACGGCAACCACACCGTCATAAATGCTCCATCCATCCTCTAACCTCTTATAGTGTTACATGGTCATGATTATTCCCCGGAGCATCAATCAGCGCTTATTCAAAACACGGCTACATTTCCGAAAGGGAGCTGGCTAACAATGTAAACAAGCAAAACATAGGAAGTTTGTCCTAGGAGAAATTTCCATGGCAGCCCGGTAAAAATCACTGCATCTGCCTGAAATGAATACTTTCATGTCTCCTTTGTTGGTGTCATTAAGGTGTTTAGGCTTCCTGTAACATTCGCAGAAACCCCAGTCCCCTAAGTACAGTGGTCACAATTAATTTAGCCATTTAATTGCATGCATCCTATCAATTTCAAAACATATAAATCTTTTTTTCAGATAAATTTTCTCTAAGCAGTTTATAAAACAGAACATCTTCCTATAATGAGGTTGGCCTCCACATCAGTCTTCATGAGTCACTGGATGTTTCAAGACAAAACCTAAACTGAATAGCTGTTCATAAGGATCTTTATCAAGCTACATGGCTGTCAGCCTTGATATCCAGAAATAGATGTGATTTCCCAAACTGTCGTAATTATAAACATACAATATTTACATTTAATCTCCCTTTGGAAAGACAAAACATACTGATGCTCATATGTTTATGTATATTTGCCTCAGCCCCATTTATATAGTGTCTCCTAGTTCAAGCATTAAACATCCCTTCATAATTCCCGACATTTCCCACCAATAACAAGCATCCCACCTTAGGGATATTGATTTCAGGGAGGCAGATGAGGGGCATCCGGGAGGGTGGGGGTGCTGGCCAGTGCTTGGCTGGTATTACTGTAGTGCTATATATTGCCGACTGGGGTGTGGGTGTAAAATTTGGGGCAAGGTTGCAGCAGTAAAACTTCTAGCCGGCTAATTTTCCACAACTGAATAGCAAAACGACAGATTTCCGGGACATTGCACATCATTTGCGGGTGTCGGAGCTGCTGTCGATTTGCGGGAGACTCCCAGAACTTCTGGGAGAGGTGGGATGTCTGCAATAAAGACTTAAAACTAATGAAATACCAAGTTGCTGACCTGCAGCGAGGCAGCAAATCCTTTTTTTCCATCCATTAATCTATAGCACAATTGCCTATAGCTGACAGCTAGTGTTACTGATACTAATGAAATGAACAGCTGTGCAGGCTCTGCACACTAGTGCGACATTCTACACCTTCCCCGGCAACTTACACAGACCATCAGCACATCATGGATCCACGTCACTCTTACAATACGCATCCTAATAATCATATTAGGCACAAAAGTATTCGGTGTGATTTTTAAATGTAACAGTTTTATGTTATTTAATTTTTTTGTTTCCTATTGATATCAAAAGACAGCTTAGTTTTGTCTGCTAACATCAGACAAATTTCTTGCTTAGTCGCATTGTGAATGCGGGTTCTTACACAGTAAACCTTTCCTGTCTCACGCACGCACGCACACACGCACGCACACACACACACACACACGGAGTCTCTCAGTATTTTCACAGTGGTAGTAAATTTCTACCTTTTTCCCCAAGCAGTGGCAGATTCTGATGTCATCTTTCAATGAACCACCTCTGGAGAGAGTGGCCCCTGTTCCAACAATGACTTTAATTAAACAGTATAAACACAGTTTAATGGGAGCTGAAGCACATCAAATGTCCAGCAGAGCTTACGGATTGGCACTACAACAGCTCCACTGCTGGACCATCAGGCTGCCACTGTAGCACTGCTGGACTGTGCGTCTCAAACACAAAACAGTTTATGTGCAGTGAAGGCCAGGCAATGCTCTGCCTCGCTAATGTCCTTCCTGTGGACCAATGACATGGGGTGGTCATGTGGTGTTCCAACATCATTCAGTGCAGGATCATCCAAATGCTGTGTCCTGTAAGACCCTCTTGGGGGAAACTACAAAAATTCTCTCTCTCTCTCAAACTCACTCACTCACACAGACACATTGACAAAAGCAGGTGAAGAACTCCTTCCCCACAGTGGATCCACAGCGTCCTGAGAGAGACACGCCCCCTGATTTACACGCAACCTTCCTCACAAGCTGCAGCAATGCTATCAGGTTGCCTGGACCTCTGGGCAGTGAGTCTGTGACAAAGCTCATGCATAGACTGGGCCTAAACCAGCCTCCTACCAGAATACACAGAACAGAGTAATCTGACCTACACCCAGAATCATATATTAAATATTAAAATATATAGCTTGGATACACTGCAAATTATACATCCCTCACCCAGCTGGATGACTCTTTAATAAATAAATATAAATATGAAGGCACCAACTGGTGTCCTGGTTTCTAAGCCCTAAAATGAAAGCTCAGAGTTGTGAGAGACTCTGTCGCTCTTTACTTTGGTGACAGTATCCCTGAACTGAACACAGGAAGTCCCACTCCGGGGGACGGGGGGGCGTGCACTGAGTGGGGCGTCCCGGCAGTGTGGAGGCGGCGTCGACCCCCAAGCTCATTTGGGTGGGTGGCATTTTTGCCCTGTATGTCTGTCCTCGTCTTCATGCCACCGGCTGAGCACGGCGCTCGTCGTGCCGCCACCCATAGCCTTGCCCAGCCGCGCTCACGTAAACGAGGCCTGCTTGCTGGCCGCTTCCTCCACCAGCGCCTGTACGGTGGTGCTGACCTTCATCAGGCCCTTCTCTTCAAGTATGTGGTGAGGAAGGCACAGCTTCTCCTGTGACAGACAGCGGAAGAAAGGAGGGAGAGAGGAAGAGAGAGGACGAAGGAGAGGGAGGAAAAGCAGGCAGTGCGAAAAAGAGACAAAATCAATATGGTCTGACTGTCCAGGAAGGGAACTGAGAGCATAAACAAAAGAGCCATATGTGTTTGTGTCACCGTCACATGTGTACGTGTCCCTCTCATGGGTATTCCTTTCACGTGTGCTAGTGTGATGTGGTGTGGCACAGTGTTTGCACAGATGTTCACACTTACATATGTGAGAGACACCAAGAGGACAAACACAAGAAATGTATCAACATCTTTTAAAAAATTTGATAAATAAATACAATTTAATTATTACTTTAATGAATAAATATAAATATGAAGGCACCAACTGTTGTCCTGGTTTCTAAGCTCTAAAATGAAAGCTCAGAGTTGTGAGAGACTCTGTCGCTCTTTACTTTGGTGACAGTATCCCTGAACTGAACACAGGAAGTCCCACTCCGGGGGACGGGGGGGCGTGCAATGAGTGGGGCGTCCCGGCAGTGTGGAGGCGGCGTCGACCCCCAAGCTCATTTGGGTGGGTGGCATTTTTCCCCTGTATGTCTGTCCTCGTCTTTATGCCACCGGCCGAGCACAGCGCTCGTCCCATCATAATAAATAAAAGTCCTGGAAAGCAGTGGCTTATCTGACTGGCAGGTAGACAGAGGCGGAACATACAAAAACCCCTTTGTTTTTGGTCTACTAAAGCTTGAGAGCCATGATGTAACAGCATTGTGAATCTCATCAGGTATCTATCTTTCACATGCTGAACCACGGCAAATATGCAAACATGTCCCCAGCATGAGGTGGGAGTCAGATCCAGGCCCTCGCCGCATGGACTGTCCAAATCACAGCATTTCATGCTCCAGGTACAAATACTTACACTGTCACTCTTGTAAAAAATCCTGCAGTTTCATCACATTCCTTTTTTTCTTAAGAGAGACCATCTGTTCTTTTTTCAAAAGATATAATTTGGGACAATGTTCAGTCAAGGTGAAAAACCAGCACCACTGTCTCCTTATCGCCCCCCCCCCCTCTCCAGGAGCTCACCGCCTGACACAGAGCAGTAAAGTAATCCAAACTATACATTTATTACCTGTGCAATATACAGTACCATATAGGTCATAAAAATACAAGCATCACAAAAGCATCCACATCAATGCTGAGTGAATTAAAGCCTTGGAAGCAGCAAATGAGCCCAAAATAAACACTACTGGTTGGCATGGCAACAGCGGAATATCTAAAAGCCTGTGGAACATAAGGAAAAATCAGGGCAAATCAGAAAGCAGGATGATCTGTAGTGTTTATGAGCCACTAGGAGGAGCTGATTAGGGAACAGTCATCTCTCTGTCTGAGGACAGCACTTTATTGCTGCATTATAATCAAAGAGCATAGCAATAAAGATAAAGGAAGGCCAAAAATCGCTCAATTAACAGGAATACAGATCTGGCAGCTTACAGGTACTGGATATACATTCTGAACCATAAAGCCCTTTTGATTTGATGCTTTGTAAGCCGTTCAGATATCGGTCATCTGTTGTGTGTGTGCAGAGAGAAAAAACAACAACCTTTGCACAACAGTCTGGCAGTTTACTGAGCTCAGAAAACAACACTGACAGCTCCTTATAAAAGCCTCACATTAGTGCAGAATTATGGGTATTAAGTCTGAACAGAAGCTAATATCATTGTTATCACAGTTCTGTGTGAGAATGTGTCATACAACACAATTCAACTCGTCTACTCAATGTTCTCTGTATGAAATGAAGGAAAAAAAAACATGAGTCTTTCATGTTATTCATCATCTGGGAGATGTTCTCTACTGAAACATCCCCATTGAGGCCGCTCAATGAACATGTGGAAACATCAGGGATGTGTTTGTCACAGAAATTTGGATAAATGTTGGCAGAGAGTCAGAGGCCCAGAAATATTATTTCAGCCCAGAAACATTATCTTCAAATCTCTGGAGGAATTGTCAGTGTTGCAAGTAGTGAGTCTTCTGATGTGTACCTGGACTTCATGGCAAAATATGGTACTGTCATATACCTGGAGGGTTTAGCAATATCGAGAGTGACATTTTGGTCTTGGGCGACAAAGCAATAAGACAACAGAGCATGTAGTTCCTGTAGCTGAGTGTGACATGAAGCTTTCCCCAGAGCCTTTGGGAGTATAACAAGTGAAGCCATTATGTGACTGTGCAGCTTAGCAAGGAGGCTACAGGGGTCCTCAGGGCTACTGTACTTGTCCAAGCTGCTAACATGTCCTTTCAATGGAAATAAGTAAGCAGAATTACTTGGTTTTCAAGTTTCAAAGCCTGTGTTGCATTTGCAACAGTCCAAAGCAATGTTCCTCAATCCGGTGCTCAGGCACTGTCTGGTAGGGAGCTGAGAGGGAGCAAAAACATGGACCATCTGGGGGTCCCTGAGCACTGGATTGAGAAACCTAAAGCAAGGCTGAGCCCCGCTGGCTAGACTAAGGCTATTTCAGCGTTGCTCTTCCGGCCTGCTCTATGTCACAGGTGCTTTCCCGATGTGACGAGATGAGGCAGCCAACTGAGCAGCATTGGCTGTCTGGAACAAGACGGGGAAGCCCCTAAAAGCAGTTAGAAAGAGCTGTGTCTCAGCGCTATACAGTACAAACAGCTCCCTCTGTCCCACTCCCAACTCTCTGTCCCATATTGCTATCATGTATATATGTCCTCCTGGGTGTGTGTGTGTGTGTGTGTGTGTGTGTGTGTGTGGGTGTATATGCACTGTGGGACTTCCTCCAACCTTAGACGAAACCCCCATACCAGTTTTTGGGTGTGGTTTTGCCTTAAGATTGCACAAATCTTTTGAGAGCGCTACCTAAACCTTATCCTCTGTGCGGGGAACTTAAAAGGATGCTACCAATAAGAGAAAATGAGGAAGAGAAAGAGGGAAGAAGAGGCGGAGAGGTGGCGGCTGCATGCAGGCCGAGAGTCAAGGTCATGTTATTTCAGCTCACTCCAGTTGTACGCCACAAAGAGCAGGACCAGACAGAAGACGTGCAATAGGCTGGAGCTGATCCAGTCCCAGATGCGCCAGCCAGTGGGCGGAGCCTGAGGGGCGGGGCTTGCGGGTGCATCCACACCCACAGGCTCGCTCTCAGTCTTGCTCTCTTTGTCAGTGTCGAGAGCCACCAGGGCGCGGACTGATTTCCGGACGGGCCGCACGTCCCCTTGCAGAATGTCGTACGCGGAGCAGAGGGCAGACTGTGGCCCGGGACACAGGATGAGGAAGAGAGGAAGAGGATGGAGACGCAGGATGGAGAGGAAGAGGAGAATGAAGGGATGAAGGAGGAATTAGAGGAAGGGAATCCATCAGGGAGCAAAGAAACACCAGGCAGAAGATTAAACAGTCACAAAAGTTCAGAAGGTTTAAAAGTATCTGTGCGTACGTCGGCGGGGGGGGGGGGCAGGGTGCAGGGTGACCAGCGGCGCCCTCTGCTGCTTTGTGAAAGAGACCCAGCGGCTCAACGAGGGGGTCAAAGAGGCAGCTTGTTTGCTCACAGGACCTGCCTCTCCCCTGCAGGACTCACACCCTTCACACCCGGGGGTGTCCGTCTCCTTTCACAAAGCGTGGCTGGGCGGTTTGGGTCGGGCGGCGAAGCTGCGATGTTCAGTGGGCGGCTCTCAGACAGGCGTGAGGCGGGCATGAAGGCAGCAATGGGCAGAAGGCTGGAATGTCATAGGCCAGGTGGTTGCCATAGTAACCTAACAGCCAGTCAGGTGGAGGACACTGCTGTTTATATATGCTGGTCCATGTAGAATGTGCTTAGCATCCCAACACCCCCCCCCATCCCCAAATTAAACCCTCTTCCCATGTCCACATACCGTGTAAGCAATTAACAAGCAATTATCAGCACAACACAAATGGGCCAATGCAGTAACTACAGAATTTCAATTCTACACGAACTAGTTTCTGTAGATACTATATACATATAGTTACTGTAACAGGTCTGTGATGCACATTACTATATCACACCGAGAAACGTGTCTTGTGCTTCACACACACACACACACACACACACAGAGTTTATATCCATAAAAGAAATACTATTATAGTTATTCAACATTTCAACCAACAAAACTACTTGGACCAATGCTGAAATATTCTACTTATCTACTGTAGTCTTCTGCCTGTTACACAAATCTGATAAACCAGTAACACCAGTTAAGCAAACCAAAACACCAACGGGGGGCTTAAGTGTGTGAGTGTTTAAGGGGGGCATTTCTGTCCCTGAGAGTCAGCAGCAGATACTGATGTGAGCGGCATTTGGCTCTGCTCCAGAAAAGCTCCCCCACTGGGGGTCTGGGGGCACTTTCCCATCATAAAACTCTATTTCCTCTGTTCGCCTGCCCCTGTCGTAAGGGAAGAGCTCCCTCGCAGCCCTACATGGCAGCAGCAAAGCGACACCGGTCCCAGTAGGCTTCCGTGGCCCCGCCCAGCCCCCCACCTACCCGGCATTTCTGAGACTCTGGGACCTTCGGCTTCTCGCTCACGAAAACGCCCCTCTGTAACAAATCTCCCCAATACTGCAAATGCAAAGCCCCTAATCCCACACTCATCTTTAAGAACATTACAAAACATAGAGCGGCTTGCCAGTGACAGTGCCACATGCTCAGACATCAGAAAGCCACAGGTTCACCTCACACAAGCTCAGCTTACAGAAACTCGCTTCTCCAACATGGCGGCCTGCAGCGCAGATGAGCGACAGGCATGTAGATGATGCAAATGTGACTCAGCCGCATGGAGGAGATGCGCAGGGATCTGACTGCATGGAGGCCCCATGGCAGGGCTGTGGAAGGTACCCAGGTCACGATGGGATGGGATGGGATGGGGGGGGCTTCCCACAGGGCAGAGGCACTGAATGCAGTGGTGGGGGGGGTCAACCATTGAGAAGCCCTATTCTATTTAGTCACTGATTTTGTGGTGACTGAATGCCATTTGGATAAACACTGAAACCAAATCTCAAGGCTAATGTTAGGCTTACGATCAGTCTCAGACATAATTCGCTTGGTGCCCCCGCTGGGGGCCGGCACCCACCTCAGGCACCCCCAGCTTGCGGCAGGCGTCCAGGAAGTTCTCTACGTTTCGCCGGCACTTGGCCATACTCAGCTTAGGCTGCCGGGGGGGCGGGGAGGGAGAAGAGAGAAGAGAAAACAATATGTAAGGTTCTCATTGCTTCATCTTAACACATCAGTCATTTTCATAATACTACCTGAAATGAAAGAACAGGGGGTGCAATGGCTAAAGAACTAAAAGGGACATCCAGGGCTTCCTAAACCAGTAGTTACAACAGAAATAGTGTAGACCCTAATAAACCTCTGCCCCCTCCCCCCCACCACACACACACACACACACACACCACAGCAGGTGAGGGCACATGGATGCTGGCGACAGCACGGGGGCGGATGTGGTTGACCAGGTGACACAGGACCACCCCGTCCATGAGAGACGAGCCAAGGTCTTCAGGCAGTGACATCTTCAGCCTGCTCTCAATATTCTAAGAACAAACACACATACACTACCAGTCAGACGTTGTTACACATACTGAGATTTTCTACACTTGCATATTACCAATATTACTACACTTAACATTTACAAAAAATACATTCAATATTCTTTGCTAACAAATACGTTTACAGTATGTTCACCATTTGAGTATGTTTATTAGGAAAAAAGCGTCCCTTCAAAAGTAACCTCCTCAAGCAGTTATAACGGCAGAGCAAAATCAAGGCGTTCTTTCCAGAAGGGACATTAAATACTGCTCTGTCTCGTGGGATGAAACGGTTAACTAGTCCATTTAAAGTTAAAGGGCAGCTGAGAATTTGACTCTGCCGTCACCACACAACCAGCTAATAGGATGTCAGACATGCACTGTTACATACTCCTTCTACGTTATAAAGGAAATTTGTTTTATTTGACTTATATTTTCATTTATAGTTGTTCACTCAACTATCCAGTGTTCAAGAAAAATAAATAATCTGCAGATTATGAAATAAATGGAAAAGTGGCAAAAATCTGCAGTGTATCAGCAATAAGAGTCAGTTACTCAGAACACACTGGAGGGGATGTAAGCTAGTGAAAGCGAGCGGTTTCCCAGAATGCCCTGCACCTCTCTCAGCTGCTCCGTCAGCTCCATCTCCTCCCGCAGCTGCTCCATCTTACGGCGGATGGTGAACTGAGGGTCCAGCGTCTCCAGACTCTTTGAATTCCGCATAAACACTGAGAAGGGGTCGGGGGGGGGGGAAGAAAAAGTGGGTTTGGAGTAACCCCCAGAACTCAGAGGATGGGGACATGCGAGCACCCCCTCCCCCACCCCCCACCCCCCACCCATGGGAGAGACGACCAGCCTGAAGCTCCGAGGCCCCGCCTGTGTGCGACTTGGCTCAAGCCGATAACTTCATGTTCGGCTCAGACCCCAGCGGCAGATGTAAGGAGAGCACAGCGCATGTCTCCCGCGAAATTATTTATGGACCTGTTTAGCAGACACATGTATCTGAGGGTGGACACCACACAACAGCATGAAAACGACAGCCGGGTGGTTTTACACTTAACTGCAACCCTTTGTCCCTGCGGTCTATAAATAGCCAAAGAAGCTGCATTGTATTTGAACACGACCCCCATGAAACATTCCACCCCTCCAGAATGAAGATGCGGCGTTTCCTTTCCCCTCCTCGTGACTGTGAAAAGGCTTGGCGTCTCTTTTAAAACACAATTTTATTCCAACAAATGACTATGTAGCAGCCATTACTGAATTCCTTAAATACATTATGTTGTATAAGACAATCCAGTCAAAGGGCCACTTTTATCTACGCTTATTCACTCCCTGACCACTTGGGGGAGCCAAGGTACATCTAATCAAATTATATCATCGCAAAAGTGATGTCTAGTTTGGCACTGGAGACAAAAGATGTGCCATGTCCAAAAATTACTGCATGAAGTCACTTAAAGTGGCTACAAAGTAAAAGTAAAACTAGAGCAGCTATGACAGGAATGGCTTCTCCCCAATTAATCTCCGCAGAAGATCGATACGGGACAAGCCAGGGCCTGATATTCCGCGAGGCGGCAGACACAGCCCTGGCTTCCAAGCGGCGGCAGGTAGCGATTATGATTCTTTTCAAGTGCCTGATTCTCCTGAGTTCTAAATGTTACATTCAGATTCGGTCAGAGCCGGGGTGGGGTCTCCGGAACAGGGTCATAGTGTTAGAGGAGACCCAGCCAACCAGCCTGACTGCAGGGAGGTAATTTACCATAAACACTGTATAATTATCAATTATATTTTATATTTAATTAGATACTGCACATTTGTTATATTTACCATAGGAATTAGAACATAGCACCAGTGGGAAGGAAAAGAAGGTGGATCTCAGTCCTGCATATCAAGATCTGGGTCAACAATCTTATTTTGCTACCTAACTGAACGAGTCAGCACACAGTGAACAAAATGATTTCATTCACTTAAAGGATTCCTTCAAGGAGAAAGGATCGTCCATGAATGACACGACTCCACAGGCGGACACTCGCACTGGAGCTCCCCAAAGCGACAGCGAGGTCTCAGACATTAAACAAGCGGCTGGCAAATTCTACCGGAAAAGAAAATTAAAGTTTATCATTTGTGACATTGAGCTTTAGCCTTAAAATAGCCCTCAAGCTGAAGGCGGCCATGATGGAAGTGAAACAGGGGTCCTGCAGCCACCGGTCCGAGTGCAGTGAACAAACTATCACTGCATCCACAGGCCTCCTGCTGCAGCTCCCTCTCCCATTAAGGGGCAAATGTCTTGCAGCACCCCAAGGCATATTATGTTGCCCCCCCCCCCCCCAAAAAAAAAAAAAAAAGCTAGAAACTTTCCTGGAAAGGGTGTGAGGAAATTGTAAAATTCTCAGATTACATCTGATACATCTGGAATTGTAAATTATTCACAGACATTGCAAACAGTGCAGTGGCAGTTATTTTTGTTAGCCTAAGTATTTCTCTCTGAGATTGAACAGCAATGTCTGAGTAAACCATCCAAACCAAGTTATTTTTGACTTGTTTTTGTGTGGGAGGAGAAGCTCATCCACAATCCCAGAATGTCCTTCTCTTCCACAAACTGGGTAATTCCAGTATGTTGTCCTTTAATTATCACCTCTGGGTGGGGCTTGACCCACCACCCTTGCAGACTATCCCAAACGAGACATCTTGAAGCCCCCCACAATCCAAATTACTCCCCCCCCCACCTTCTCCCAGAACAACAGCATTGACCTGAGAACCACACAGCACTGAGCTGTTCGTAGTGACCTTTGACCCCAAGCAAATTACATCTTTAGCTCAAGGTTTTCCATAAAAAAGCCCAACATAAGTGCTGCATCAGGCTACGATACTGGGTAACACACAATACACTGCAGAGGTTTAAAGACTGACAAATGTGGCTGTTTAATTAGAGGGAATTAGGGCCTTACCATTTAAATGAGGACAAAAACATCAACTGAAGCTACCCAGGGAAAGAGAGGGCAGGAAAAAACACACAAACAGCTACAATTACTGTTAAAACAGCAAGCTAGGCATTGTGCATGGAATCATGAGCTAGTAAAAATAAGCCTTTCCATTGTTTCCAGTGTACCAGAGTAAAGAAATAGAAGCCAATGAAAAAGAACCAGTCGACCCCCCAAGCTGGAACTGGGGCCTGTGTACGCGTCCATAGTCGGCCAACAGAATGCTCGAGTCATTATTCAGTCAGACCCAGGTGATTCACATCTATGCTATGACTGTATATACATGTCATGGAGAGAACAGATGTACGAGAGTGACAGTACAGCTGTGTGTCATTGTCTGAATTCCGGTTGGATTTAAAAATTTAGGGTGTGGACCAATGTGAAGGTATCAGAGGACATTAAGGAGCTATGGGTGTAAAATTATGATGCTTCTGCAGTCTTTTCATGAAGATATCAGCAGTGGTGGCTCAGCCGAGTGTTTTATATAGAGTGATGTGCCAATCGACCCAGCTGTACCAGACAGATGTGCATTACCTCACAAAAGATCACCATGGAGACAGTGAGAGAGTGGCCTGCCAGCCACTGATAGTGGGGCACAGTGACAGGGCTGCACACCATTCTGAAAGCTAGCACGGTCCCAGGCACCGACATCTGGGGACATTAACTCTGTCCTGTACAAACTCCACACCAAAAGCATGACTCAGGACAATAGTGAGGATCTGAGTTCCCTGACTAATGCGGAGTATAAAAGTGAGAAACTAGGCCACCCTGAGCCACTGAAGGGCTTCGCACTCATGGGCCCAGGCAGGGATACCAAAAAGGACAGAACAGAGGAGAATAAGAGGCCATGCTGTCAGCAATTCAAGATAAGCCCTGTTCGCTGAGGCTGACATCATCGTACAGCGCTCTCCGATGGCATCTTAAAGTGCACAACACAAGTCACGCATTACACCATTCAGCGAAGCCAGCAGACTCGAGCAAAGCTAACAACACGCTTCTCTGTGTCAGAGGCTGGTTCTACGCTATCAGACAGGACAATGGAGGCAGAGGGGACGCCTGCTCCAGCTATAGCAGCTTGACACTCAATTTCACTCTCCCTCAATTCTTAGGCTCTTTGGAGAGGCCAGTATTATGACAGAACCATAATACCTGGTATAAATCCATGACAGGAAACTCAAAGACCGGTGGTACTCTGGTGCTCTACTAAAAACAAATTTCCCAAGACATACCAGGGCATTATCAAGATTATTAGAGTTTAAAGACAAAATTTCACACTAAAGCCAGACCGACAGAAATAAGCACCATTTCATATTTCTGATCAGGCACGCCATGGACAACCTTTCTGACAGGCCCCTGGAGGAGCACTATGGGACCTGTGATGGTACAGGAGAAGAATGAAAAATAGCATGAATGCAGAGAAGCGGAGTGAAAAATGAGGGCAACTTCCTGCTGTCATTCTGTCCTGCAGTGGGCGCCCCTGAGGACCGATAAAGAGAACACAGCAGAACGCCTTTATTATCATCACTGTACCAGAGACAAGTCATTTCAGTTTTCACATATACCGTGTTGCTCTCCTATGAGACAAACACTCACAGGTAGCAGTAAGAGTGAAGCCTGGGGAGAGAGTTGAGGGTCAGCCATTTATCTGGGGCCCTGCAGCAGCTTATGAGGTTAAGGGACAGTCCAAGGACCCAGTAACAAGTCCACAAACGGACTGACTCGCTGCTCCCATCACCGTCTGAGAGGTGCTGATGGTTTCATTTCCTAGTGGCTTTCAGGGCCGCGTATTAATAGCACCCCTGCTAAAACTCCTTAGCGTGGAGCCTGAACTGTCATCTGACAGCGAAAAAGCAGCAGCACTGCCGTTCCTAATAAGGGCGTGCCACAGAGTATTCCCTGCGACCGAAGAGGCCGCTTTCGGTTTTGAACGAGCACCGTCTCCAAGAAGGAAATGCACCATTTTTGTCATTCCTGAACATTAGGAAGGGAAACATTTCTGGGGAAATCCAGGGTCAGCGGCTGCCGCCTCCTCCTCGTCGTCCTCCTCCTCCTCCAGTCGTTTCCATTGCAGCAGAAGTATGACACCCACACAGGGGCCATTATCTAATGCGTATAACTTAGAGTCTATAAATAGCACATTGCTCCTTAAAGGGCAGCAGAGTAAACAAGGCCAGGCCTGTAAGACTAGCTGCCTCATCATGCATTTAACGAGGCAGTGGCCTGTAAGACCCCCCCCCCCCCCCCGCTGCCGCTTTGTCCAGGCTCAGATGTTCTAGCCTTAGAATATTCTAGGCTGATTCCACGCGGTGCTGCTGAGGCTTCCCAAACTGACATGCAGTGTCCAATCCATTACCTCCTTTGCCCAAAATCACACCCATTCTCACCTTGCAGTCACCCAGCAGCCTGTAGTTAGAGGCACCCCATCGGTTTTAATGGGTTCTGATATTTTCTCCCAGGTACAGCAGGAATTACATCCACATGACTGTGGGCAGTGTGGGCATACAGGCATCCAGAGTCCGACCCAGGATTCACAGGAAACGCACAAATGGCCGTGAATACACAAACATACACATGTTTGTTTACCTATCACTCTGGGGCATTTGTACACTTAATTAATTTTAAAGGTTTCTTAGTTTAAGAAAAAATTCTGGAAAAAGCTGAACAAAACATTTTTGAAAAAATATAATATTCATAAGGAAACATTTTATATGATTTGGGACACCTACAAGATCTCTTGTTCAAAATACAGTATAGGTTGCAATACTCTATCTGCAATAATACTACAGTATATCCACTCAAACAAGTACAGTTACTACTGTTGACTGCACTGTATGTTGTTGCAAAAAAAGTTTTTACAGTGCTACCTGGAAATAATTTTTATGGTTAAGAAAACCTATACACAGAAAGACAATACAGTGACACACACACCAATACAAAAGTGCGTAATCATTATATTCATAGAAACAGATATACACGCTCAAACAGACCAATGTAACACACATACTGAGTGTGCGGACTGTGATGCAACCCAATTGGGACTCGGATTGGACACAACATTTGAGAGAAAGGACCTACCAATGTTTCTCATGCCTCCTTCATCTGCCTTAGTAGGGGTGTCTCTATCAGCAGGAGTGGCCTGTGTGAGGGGGCGGAGACAGGGCGGGGAATAGCAAGACAGCAAGGCGGGGGCTGAGGGGCGGGGCCAGGGGCAGCAGGGCAGAGCAGAGCAAGCAGGGACCGTTTTACCCCCAAAATAAACAGAGAAGCATATTTGTGTTTTACAGTTAAAGGAGAAGAGGAAGCACAAGCAGCAGCAGATCATATACTCAAGCAAATATGCAGTTTTTAAAGAGAATAAATTAGTGACACAACAAAGATATTCATGCAGAAAGAAAGTCAAAGAGAGACAGGCAGAGAGAAAGAGGTACAGAGAAAGAGAGAGGGACACAGGAAGTGCCATAAAAAGAACAAAAAAACATGGAGAATGGAAAAATAATGTTAATGCAAATTCAAATTCTGATTCGTCATGACATGCTGCGTTAAAGATGTCAGCTAGAGCTGGGGTAAAGGCAGCAGATACTGCGCCTGATAGGTGTCTGCCTGAGGTACAAGCATGGCTGTGCAGAGACATGTGCGATGCATAAGGGAGGCTGTACCCAGGGCCTTTCACGCAGCGTGGTCAGTCCAACACACCCGGCCACTGCCCAAGTGCAGCACTTGCTGAGCTGCTATGCACTCAGTCGAGGAATCATCTTTGTAAATGTGTAATTGGTGGCCTAAGAACAGTCGGTTTTCTCCTGACGTCTTAGGGCACAGGTGTCAGACTCCAGTCCTGGGGGGCCAGAGCCCTGCACATTATTGGGTTTCCCCTCGTTTAACACACCTGATTCAGCTTCTTGTGCTAATTACCACACAGCCGTTTAGCTGAATCATTTGTGGTGGAACAGGGAAAGAACTAAGGTACACAGGGCTGCGGCCCCCCAGGACTGGAGTTTGACACCCCTGTCTTAGGGGATGCTGGCTTGGATCGTACCTGTGTGAGGGAGGCCCTGGGTACAGGCCATGTTTATACAAACTTCATGTTATGCTATAAGGACATTGCATATTAGCTGGATAACAAACTGCTGCTGCTGCTTAGAGGAGCTGGATGTAAAAAGGGACATGGGGGAGGAGCCAACAGCCTGGCTGGGGGTGTGGCCAGGAGGGTGATAGTGGACAGTGACAGGCTGTGCCAGTAATGAAGGTCAAAGCCTTTTCTCTGAAATTAAGGGATGATTATCTGTTGGAGGTGAGCCCGGTAACCAAGGTGGGGGGCAGGGTGGGGTCTAGCTACAGAAAGGGGCTTTCAGCTGCTCCAAAAACAAAGCTCCAGTCTTCTCTACTAAGCGATTGATTGTTTTTGTGGAGAGAGATCGCTCTGAACACAATGGCCGATAAAGGCTTCTCTTTTGTTCTCCACTGTAAGGCCACAGGCCTGGCTTTTCCCTCAGAGGCCGCTGCTGCACTGAGGGGGAGGGGGAGGGGAAGGGGGTGGCAGAGGAGGGCGGGGTAACACTGGGGGCAATTAGGTGAAGGTCAGCGATTCTAGACAAAGAGGAAAGTTGTGTTTCTTTTTTTTCTTTTTAGTACCAGGAGGGGGTTGGGTTTGCAAGTAGGACAGGAGGACAGCCTGTCCCCCCCGGCATGTTGCGTCCAATCACGGCTGTTCAAAGGTTCACTGGAACGTTCTGTGTCAGTCTAACCACTCATGACGGTTTTCTCAGAAACACAAGTGCAACGTCACTGTTGGGTTGTTGTGAGGGTTCTGAGGTGTGTGGGGGTTAGGAAAGTGAACGTGAGGCCTGCCCCAGCCCAGCCCAGCCCACCGCACGGAGGCCTGTCCTTCACCTACCTGACCTGGGCTTCAGGCCAAAGGGTGGGGAGTTCACTGGTGTTGAAGAGGCTGAGCTTTTGTCTTCCCCCTAGGGGGCGCCACAGAAACACAAAGCACATGCTTCAATAACCTGAACTTCTGTTTTAAATCAATTCCCTGGCTTCATTAATCTTGTTTTATTATTATATTGCATTTTAGATAAAAATATAGCCTTTGAGGTATTATTTGGATAATGTTTATATATTTTTTTATTATTAAAAGTATAACATGGGTATATTTTAAAGCTATTAGAACTTTTATTATTATAATAATGTGGGGGTGCTGAAGATGCAGAGCTGGAGGGGTCCAGGCTGGCTGTACTCACCGTGTCCACATGATCCTGCTGGTTCTCGTTTTGGTCACCTGAGTGCATCTGTGGAGCACATGGACATGAGGACTATTCCAGACCCCCCCCCCCCCATATCAGATGTGCTGCTAATACAGCATCCAACAGCAGTTAGCTGAGGTGACATTAGCAGGTCAGGCAAAAGGAGCCACTGTAAGTGAGGGATCTATTCTGCAACTGACAGGTAGGGGGAAGTTTATAGTTATGAAACTACTGCCGTGATGGTATACATGCGGCTTACACATCTATTTGTGAGTATGAGGGCTTTGTGCATGTCTCTCTCAAAATATCTATGTTTCATGCACAACTGTCTAATAGTATGCATGCTCCATTCACATCTGTCTGATAGCATGCATGCTAAATACACATCCCTGAGAGTATGTAATAATAAATTCAATAATAATAATAATAAATTTAATTTATAATGCACTTTACATTTTACAGAGAAAATCTCAAAGTGCATACAGACAATG